GACATACGATCGGAGTTGAGGAGAGCTGAACTCATCCAAAAGAAGACGTTGGATCCATTAATGTATGCAGCTCCTTGTCGGAAGAGACTAACTTTTTTTTTTGAATTGACGGAAGAGACTAACTTTACTCCCCTCAGTAATTAACTTTTCTACAGCGATCTCGTTTGTACTTTTGGAAAAGAAGAAATAAAGAAAGAACGAAAAAACCCATGCTTTAAACTCTTGGAATGACAAGTCACTACTATTAAAAAAAAAAGTGATTTAACCAAGAAGTTTGACAAAAGATGTTTAATTTTTAGGAGTTGATTGGATAGAAACCAAACCATAGTTTCAGAAGTACTTTTACGGTTTACGAAATAAATATATGGAGGAGTTTGTCTCGTTTTACGGAAAATACTTCTGAAATCATGGTTTTCATATTGCCAAACACCCCTTTAGTCGGCAGATCTAATATTGTGCCTGTTTGGCATCACTTATAAGCAGCTTATTTTCACTATAAGCCTGATTGGAAAATTTTGAGTGTTTGGTTGGGCTTTTCTGCAATCGGGCTTCTGTATAAAAAGCTGCAATAAGCTATAAGCTAAAATTAACAGCTTATAGCTTATGACTTTTGAAATATGGAAAGAGAAAAAGTTAAGAAATTTATTACTTCATTTGGTTCTTATTATAAGCCTCAAATAACTAATTTGTAGATAATAAAAAATCAGTTAAAATTAGTTGAAAGTAATAAATAAGTTAGAAGTATACTTTTATTTTTAAATATGCTCCTAAAAATATACTTTTATTTTTTCATGTTTCACTTTATATGTAAAATATTTTTTAACTTCTTCATATTAAATTATTTTAATTTCATTATATTATATGAAATCAGTTTTTAATCATGTTTTGTTATTTATTAAAACTCATATTTATTTTGGTCATTTTACAACCAAACTTACTTTTACTCAATCATAATCCAAACAACCTTTTACCAATCTCATTTTACAAGCTAACTTTTCTGAACTCCAATCCAAACATAATTCAGCTTATCCAATTTAACTTTTATCATTTCACTTTTTCATAAGCTACTTTTCAATAAACTGTTTTTTCAATCGCTGATCCAAACGGACCTATTAACCTTAAAAAAAGAGCGACAGATGGGCATTGTAGCTGCGGAGCGACGGTTCGGGCCATCGGGCCTAGGTGAAGAGATGTGAGAATTATTATTACATGATATATCCAAAAAATGAGGCAACCAACGCGGCAGGCCCGTCTAGCTCAGTCGGTAGAGCGCAAGGCTCTTAACCTTGTGGTCGTGGGTTCGAGCCCCACGGTGGGCGATTATTATTTTCCGGATTTATGGTTTTAATTTTAGAGGTAATCAAATCGGAAGCAATTCTCCTAAGCCAGTTAGATCCGGAGGCCTCGTTGCACAGAGGATCAGCCCATCGCGCAAGTTGGGCCTCATTTATCTGGTAATTTAATTGGGCCCCACTTTTGGTCTTCAAATGTGAGATAAAAAAAAAAGAAGCTAAATATATTGATGAGCCCGTCGCAATCAATTTTTTTTGGGCGAAAAGAAGAAATGTGTATTGCCCAAAATTCATGAATCCTACTAATTATAGCAGAGTTTATCTGCATCTTGCTTTCCAAATGTAGCAACATAAGTAAGCAATTAATTGAGTATCTGGATCAGCTTATTTTTAAGCGATTTTGTATTACGAAATATGTTGAGAGTTTTATCTAATAAGACGTAACAACATTTTTTTTTTTGGTCGCTTCCAAAACCCGATCACATAATATATTTAGGGAAAGCGCTGGACCACAATATAATGCCTCTTCCAAAAGGTTTCTTTGGTTGGGATACGGCTTTAGAGAAAATCTTCCATGAAAAGTGTTGAACGAGACAACAAATTCGAGGTATTGACTCCTTTTTTAAGTTACAGCACGGTCAATTCTTTTTCTTTTTTTCTTTTAACCTCAGGCATTCACTGCATGTGATAGTAATAACTAATCCCTTATCACTATAGACCTCTCAAAGAGGGTTTAGTGTTTGTCATTAAATATAAGACCAATTGAACCACTAATTAGATACTCATCTGGTCTTTAATATAGGACTCAATTCTTGAGTTGGTTTTGGTCCTAAATATAAGACTCATTTATCATATTTATCAATTTTCTCTAAATTACCCCTATAGATACTCCCTCAACTATAATTAAGTAGAAGAGGGGATGGGGTATTAAGAAAGATGATTATGGTGTTTTAGGAAAAATGTGTCACTTTTCTTATAATTAACTAACTACCTAACTTCCTTAATTAATCAAATTAGTTAAATGGGTCTTATATTAAGGACCGGAAGAGTATTTAATAAATATGATCAATCTTTAATGACCTTATATATCTCTGAATTTTCAATACATGTTAAGAAAAAAATGTGTGTTGGATTCCATTATACTAACTTCGGTTCATAATATAAAAATTAGTTTGATATTTAATTTAGTTCTAAATATAAGATCTCAATCCACTTTATTTCTCATATTTATCTATTTTTTCTTAAAATAGTCCTTATAGTAGTTGTAAATGTTAAATATTTCATCAAATAATAGTGCTAACTAATATGTATCATCAGAAAATATATTCTAATGAAAATAATACATATTTATTAAAAATAATTAATTTAACAAACTTTCTCAATTTATTCAAATTACCTAAGTGACTTTTATATTAAAGACCAGAGGCGGTTAATATTAATTACAAGGTATGTTTGATTGATCTCTCTCTTTAATTATAGGGTTCGCATGTTTATTCACGCGAGTATTTTATCAACATTTGTAGCTCATTCATGTCTTACTATAAAATGTTTGATGTGAATTGACTTTTATTCATCATTCTACAAATCTCGAGTTTCTTTCTTTCTTTTTTTCAGTGTTTGTTTGAAATGATAATAAGATTTTTTAAAAAAAAAAAAATTTCAATCGTAATATACAGAATATAAAAAAATATTTAAAAATAATTTTATCTCCATTTATATAAATATACTTATAAGCAGTAATATTATCATTTACTCAAAGAAGTTGTAAGTAAGAATTTTGGGGATGCAGGTAAAGTGATTTTTTTTATGTACCAAACATGTGTGCAAAAAAAATAGTGATGTCATAAATATTTTTTCAGTGCAGTGATATATTGATATTTACTTTTAATAGGAATTATATTCTCTTTTAACGCCTAATAACAAATAACGAAAATTGCCCCGTGGCTACATAAAATTACAACGTTTTGAATATTCCTCTAGTACCCCTTCTTATAGAGCCAGGAAAACAGGCCTACTCCATCAGATTGGCCCGTTTAAATCCAACAATTGTGAGGGTTGAGTTTATAATTTTTTTATTTAAATGGGAAACGGGCTTAAAAGGAGAACGAGAGCTGACCCATTTAGGCCCATTTAAAATGTTTTTAATTTTTTATAATTTTTTGTGTAATTTTAATATTATTATTATTTTTACATTGTAAATGATATTTTGAATATTTAGTTATTTTTATCATTTTGAAATTAAATTTCACATAATGGTTTGATTTATTTGATTTTAGACAATAATTTATCTAATTAAATTTCACATAATGATTTGATTTATATTATATGTGTTGATATTTTTAAATTATATATATATATATATTTGATAAGAAAGTATTTTTATACTTATATAACTTGTGATTTTATAATTTGAATTAAAAATTTGTGAGTTTCAACAATGATCCTTCTAAAACTAAAGTAAAATAATAACTAGATTGCAAAATTTAAAAGTGAAATTCCTAATTTAAAAGTGAAATTCCTATAAAGAACAAAAACTTGATATTTTTGCTACGAATGAAGAGCAATTGATTATAGTGATGATGAAGTTTCAAAAAATTAATGATAGTGTTTGTCTATTGTATATTTGCACTATTAATGAAACTTTTAGATGCTATTATTTTGTTGATAGATGTTTTAAATGTTGATGGATATTTAAATATGATGATATTTTATATTTGTGACTTAACTTTATTTATAGTTATAGTTTTTATTAATAATTTTATTGGTTTGTTTTTATTTTTTGATTAAAAAAACGTGAGAAATGTGAAAAATAACATTTTTTTAAACGGGCCGAAAACCCGCAGACTGGCCATGAACTGGTCAACTTAAGAACCAAGTCTAACAAATTAAGATATTTTTAAAATTTCAATCCTATCAGACCTTTTACACTGTTGGCCGTATTCCCACCTCAACCTTCTTATGCCTCCTCCTTTTTGGTCACTTTGTAACATCGCAACGTGGTCCAATCAAACAGGATGGTGGTGGGATGCTTCAATAATCTTGTTCTTCTTTTCTTTATTTTTTTAATACCTTTTTCGGGAGGCAGTAATTAAACCCTCAACTTAGATAGTAACATAATTTTAATGAATAAACACTAGTTGAATTATATATAACCGGAATCTATTTTCTCTAATCCTTTACAGCAGCAGCACTGGTGATGCTGTAGAGCAGCAGATATGATAAAAATTAATACATTTCTGATCTTAAATATAAAACTTATTTTACAGTATAATTCATACTACAAAATGAATCTTAAACTTAGAATCAATTAACTTTTATTTTTAAGGTATCACAAAAATAAAAAATAAATACAACATTATAATTTTTTAAAAAATGTATTTAAATATTAAAAAATTTGAAATGATGTATAAAACTTCCATTCAAATGTAATCTGTTATGTGCAAATTTATAGCACCAGTTTTTCTCTTCGCACAATTTATTTTTTAAAAATCTTTATAATAATATTAACATATACAACCAAAAAAAAATATTTTAAGTGATATGCATTTTTATGGAAAATAAAAGTAACTAAATCAACTTTTTGATATTCACAAGTTAACCAATTAAATAGATATTTGAGAGTTATCAACAATTTTTAAATCAAAACCACGAGTTGACATGCCTACTAGCTAAATACCCATCCAAATCCAAAAATCGATTTTTTAAGTCTAGGACCATAATCTGGAACAAAGCCCATTAATACAGCCTTTTCATAGCGATTAATTCCCCCAAAATCTATTCTCTGAAAGCCAAATACACACTAATATATATTTGGATGGAAGGAAAAGTGGGCAAATTAAAGAAAGTGAATACTAGCAGAAAAAACTTCAAAAACAGTAAAGGTTAGTCCTATATTTTGGATGAGATGAAGTAAAAAACAGGGCATAGGGTTAAACTCATCTGCAACCCGGATATCATGAGTTCTAAATATGTTCATCTACGATATACACGCACGTCCATGAACAACCATTTTGATGCTCTGTGCTGTTAGGATGTCCCGGACTGCTAAAGCCAACCTATCGGTAAGACCACCTCAAATCCTCATCATCCTCATCATCCACACCATCAATATCGTGGTCGCCTACATCATAATCATCATCAAAGTCCTCATCATTAAATGGATCAACATCAACATCCTCGGAGAAAACGTGACGAAAATCCTCCTCTGATGATTCATCACTAGCATTCTTGCTTTCACGTTGATCTGAATCATTATCGGAGGCTTCATTTTCTTCATCTTCCTCTTCCTCTTCAGATATCTCGTCCGGATAATCATTCAATGGATTGTTTTCAGCTATAAATCACCAAATATGAACACACGGTCAACTATGTGGGGTTTAGTCATAGTAAGATAGAATAGCTGGAGCGTAAGTACCATTTGAGTCATCACTTTCATAATCTGACTCTTCAGGCCCATCATAATAATCATCTTCATCAACTTGAACTCTGATTCAAATATACACAATGGTGTCAAGTAAGAACGAATATATAATGCAATTGATCGAACATTTTCAAACAGGAAATACTCACAGAGGATAGGAATATGAAGTATCTTCAACCGTTGTATCCATCTCCCCGTTCACAGTGTAAATATCATAAACGTAATCATCTGTAGTCACAACCCAATCAAAACAATTGGTATGAAAGAAGTCAGCAACATTAATAATCAACTGTTCAAAACATTAATGGGGCGTGTCAATGTGGATGAAATGGTATTGATCTAATGGATGGTACCGTTTGCCTAAGTAGAGAAATCGCCACTTATTCCATCTATTTACTCTTCTAGTCCTAAATATAAGACCCTTATACACACTAGTATAAGTCTTATATTTAGGATCGGAGGAGTAGTATTTTACATACCAGCGCAACTTTAATTAAAGAAAGGTTGGTAACAATTTTATAATAGTTAGCCACCAATAACAACCTTGTTCACAATGAGCTCGCATATCAGATTCAATCTCCGCAGCAGCATTAGGAATAAACTCATTTAGTAAAGGGAGGTAACTACACAGAAGTCTTTGATCCTCCAAGGACATATGTCTGCAAAATCACAGGAAAAATTGTTTCGTATGATAATTGTCCAGACAGAAGAAAACAATTTGATTCTATGATGGAAACACTTACTCTTGCTGTGCCTTGTTATTTTTCTCTTCATCAACACGAACAACATCATAGAAGTAGCATATTTCTTGTAATGCTTTGGCATGCACAGATTCCTTGTTTCCCCTCCTGCTCTTCCATATTTGTTCAAATCGGGCATTTTTTGCAGCAGACTAGAGGAAAAACAAAAGCAACATCTCAAGTTTGCAAAAGGTAACAACCGCAAAAAAAAAAAAAAAGCATTTCATCCCATGCACATATATGATCCAAAGACCAATATCATACTATTTTTTCTGAAATCCAAACCTCCGTGCTCGTAATAATCTATTGCCTATCAAAGTATAGTTGCCTATTATATTGGCTTCCACGATTTAAGAACATAATGTTAAACAGACTAGAAACTACATTCAGCTTCAGACCCTGAGACAGCTTACAAGATGCAATGTAACATCACACCTGGTTCAATTGTCTTTCATGCTCCACCGTGGGAAAAGAGAGAAATAAAGAGAAGAGGGAGGGATGGAGAAAAAGGAGTGCGGGGAAAGAAGGTGGAATTTGAAACGGATAGAAGGGCTTGAGGAAATGACTTGTGATGATATCATCAGTTCATCATTACTTATAAATTGATGTTTTTTCCGTAGTTTTATTTTTATACATCACTTCAACACAGATATAAAAATAAATAATTGTGAGTGAAATACACAGACAAATCGGATTTAAGTCGGTTTACCTAGATGTCCCTCCGCATTTCAAAAACAAATTAGTTACCAGCTGTTCAATGTATTATAATCAAATCAAACTACACCTAACAACAGAAAAGGCATATTCCACGAGAGTACGCACATTTTCAGGAAGAAATGATGCTCACATTACAAATTCACGAGCACACATACCACGGAAAAGAGAAAACATCAAGATGCTAATATACAACGATCAATAAGCAACCAAAGCAGTCAAAAACAGGTCTCAGCAAACACCCTAGCCTTGTAACATATCATATTTAAGGAGTTTTGAACTATATTCAACTTAAAATGCAGGTTAATGATATAATATCAAGAATATAAAGTTAACAGGGAGCTGAGGTTTGGCCTCTCTTATCATCTTGGACAACAGATTTTCTTTTATAGCTCTAAATATATGCCTTTCAGGAATCACACACACACAAACACATATATTGAACTTGCCTTAACATAGATCAGTGACAATCAGGCTCTAACTGGAAGTAAAAGGACTGGAGACAATTTAGTTAAATGTAACTTGCACCAAGAGGTGAACCAACATAAGAGGAGTTGATAGAGCCCGGACAGAAATAATGGAGAGACAACACTGAAATTTGATTAACTCACAATAATCTTCCTCCAAGAAGAGAAGGAAGTTACAACAATAAGAAAAACAAACTAAACTAGAAAGATAAATGATGAAGAAAGACTATCTTCCTCCACCCCACACTGGCATTTGAGAGGCCAGTGCTCTCCTCACTACTCTCAGATTACAAAATAAGTCCTCCTCCCTCAGGATACACCTACTACTAATATAAGCCGAAAAAGTAAGTCACACAATCCCCAAAACACCCCTTTCTAGGTCAGGACTATAGCCACCCTAAAGTAACTCCAATGCTTAGTTTCTTTCTCCAAAACAGAAGGAAGCTTGAGGTCAACACGCTGGACAGCATAAAGTATTTTTCCTTTTTCATGTATCTTGCTAATTTTCCTTTTATAATTCTGGGCAGTAAAAGCAATTCTATCAGGAGTTTACCAGTAAAACAACAGCAAACAAAAAGAACCAGAAAAAGGGAACTTTTTCATACCAGATTGAAAAAAAAAGCAAAACATGCCTACAGAAGAGATTTCAGTATACTGTCATGGGAAGATGTATATAATTTTTAAACTATATACATACATAAGAATGAGTAATTTAGGCCATGTGACAAACCTCATGCTTTTCTTTAGCTTTAAGCAACAGCTGGTCTTGTTTCTGCAGACAATAAATTAGAAACGAGAAATCATGAAAACCATACAGAAGCACTGAGAAGCATGGTCTGCAAAGGCTGATTCTTTGGAGAGAGTAGGGTCTATTGTCTCTATTCAAGAAAATGCAATTTTATGTGAGATTGTACATGAGGGATGGAGGGAAAGAAGATAGTTCTTACATGGTCCTTCTTCAATAAATCTTTCCGTTCCACAACTTTTGATTTGCATTCAGATGCACCACTAGAACCAGGGTCCTAGAGAAACACTTACTCGATAAGACACTTTGATAACAAGTTCACTGCAACATGATGTGATAATGATATTCTATAAAGTAACACATCATGATACAATATCAAAGAGAAGAATGGTAAGCACCAGCTAGGCAGCCATACTGACCACGAAAGACTGCACAACATTAAAGGTAACCTCAGGGATGCTTATTGTCTCCACATGTTGAACAAAAACCTTCTTGGCATTCAATTCCTCTGCTACCAACGAAAAGCATGATATCAGGAGTCAGGCACTCATACGGACAAATCCAACTCTAATGACATAACATTCCAGCACTCTCTTCTTTCCATCTCTTTCATATGTAGCTAAAATGTTTATTTATTTCCAAAACTGAATAAGAAAAAAACTTTGAGGGGGGGGGGAGTGCTTAAAGAATGTGGAATGGAACCCAAACTAGAAAATTAATGGCTCATTGACAAAGCAAATTAACTGTATAAAAAAAAAAATCTCCATTGAAAGAATCTCAAAAACAAACACAACGATCTTCGTTTCCAAGAGAAATTCCTTTCACTCAAGGATGTGGAAAGAAAGACATGGCACGGATCTCCCAATAATTTCAAAGATGCAAGCCAGTAACTTGAACCTAAGACCAGCGAAGGGCCAAGGTGCCAAGTACAGGTATATTTTCTATCCAATTAATTTACAAACCATTAATATCAATTTTATGGTCTGGGCTTAATTATAATTTTGCTTAAATTGCAATACATTTTTTCTTTGCTCAATCCTAGGTCAGTTTTGCCAATGCATGGTGATTGGTTCTGAGCTGGGGATTAAAGGATTTACCAAAAGATCAAGAATTCGTTATTTCAATGTGGTTTCATAGAGTGGAAGAATATATTGTCACAACCATCAGAGTAAGACAAAAATATGTAATCTACAAAATCATAGCAAACCCTGATTGGTCTGAGATGAGTAGCATACCTTTCTGAGTGACGTTATCCGAGATAGACAGATTCGCAAAATCCACCAGAGGGCGCTTTAATGGCCTCTCATTGATTTCCAGCCCTACATTGTCACCCCAAAACCAAATTCCATTATCACTGCTAGTACTAGTAAGGTAGAATCGTGCTGCCACGTTTGTGTAAAGCCCAGACGGGCAATATTTGGACAAGGAATTCTAGTATCTTTACTCCACATTTTTTTTGGTTTTAAAAGACCATCCATAATTAGACAAACGCGGTAGTAGAAATTAAAAAGAAAGAGTTGCTTACAGAAAGCGTCAATTGGTGACTGAAAGGATTTTCTTTTAACCCTAACCACCACTGGCTTGGATGTCGCCACAGCCGAAGAGCTTTCGCCCACAGCAGCCATGGAATGGAACTTTCTGGAGTACAGCAACGCTAGGGCAAATGGATCTGCGCTAGCTTTAGAAACGAACCAAAATCATTTTTGGCGTGAAAAACACGAAAAACAATCATCAATTCATCACTCCACATTTGGACGTGCATGGACGAGAGTGGCTGGGTTTGCCATTAATCCGAAGTATGGTCCGGTGAAAACCTTGGCTGAAAAGGATAGCCCTTGGTCCGTTTCAATCCAGCCGCTGAACGACTTCGATTTAATTTTTTTTTAATTGGAAATAAGATTTCAACTTTCTATATAAAATTTGAATATGTTTTGATATAAATTTCATCAAATTTGATCATTCCCATTCAATTTCTCAATAAGGGCATGTTTCATTTATTAATCCTCATTAATATATAGGTTTTATATTGAAGAAAATACATACATATATTCATCAGTTAGGAAGTTAATAGATAAAGCTTAATTATCTAAGTTGACAAAAAAAACTTCTAAGAAATAATTTTAAAAAAATTAAAATTATATAAATAATATTTATGATTTTAAAAAAAAAAGCTAAACTGGATTGGACTAACGGTTTGAAAAGTCAGTTCTTAGTCCAGTCCAACCTGATAGGACCCATCCGGTCCAGTCTGCCTTAATCTTGTCTCAGATCATTTTTTTTTTTACTAGACTCAACCAGACCACGGGGGTATTTGGATGAAGCTAAACCATGGTTTGGAAAATAGCTTCTGGAGAATAGATTTTGGAGAGAATAGATTTTGGAAGAATAGATTGTCTGAAAAAGTGATTTTGATAAAGTGAGAGTGTTTGGATATTTATTGTCAGAAATACTTTTTTATATGTAGAAATTACTAAAAAGGACATAAGTTTAAATGATAATTACATATAAGATATATTTCATAATATATGCTTATTTGAAGTAATAAATTTGTTAATAATATATATTTTGGCAACATAATAAATAAGACATAAATAATATAAATAAAAAAAATTAAAACGTATATATATATTAATAAAATAAGTAAATATGTTTTTTGTAAAATAATTTACTTTGCCAACAAAAAATATGATTAATTATTTCAGAAAATATGATTAACAAAACATATGTTTGTGGAAGTAGGATCCGCGGACACCAAGTAATATATTTTGCAAAGCACCACCAGTGAAAGCTGTAGCATGGAGCCTCGTAGAGCAAAAGAGGAAGGAAACAATTGATATTTGCAGGGCCCACCAGCAGTCAATAATCAGCCTAGAAGCAGCTCCTCCGTCCCTTCTTCGAAACCAAGGTTTTGGGGGGCCAAAACCATGGTTTCCCCAAAACCATGGTTTCAAATTTTTGATGGGTGTTTGGCAAATTTTTCTCCAAACCATGGTTTGGAGGGAGATCCAAACACCCTCCACGTTTCTTCAGGTTGAACAGATCACACTGAACCATTAGATTTTTGTACAGCTCTAATCATTCAGTGTGTTTCTTGCAGGAACCACGGCCATCTTTTTCGTACGGAGTGTTTGAATTTGAACCTTATTTACTCTAATGGCCCAAAAATTTTTATGACTAATGTCTAATGATAAGGGGCAACCAACCGCAGTTAGCTTTACTGAAAAGATCAGTTTTTTGGCATGTGGTAAATTAAAATGTAAATTTTTGCTAGGAAAAATATTCATATTTAATATCCGTCTCCAAAATTAAATGTGATGGAAACATTAACTGATAACAACTGTCTGTAATCTCTTATCCATTCAAATGTCACTTTTGAATGTTGAAGATCTCTTTGTATTGATAAAATTATTTTCTAACTTTCATTTATATATTTTAGATAATATTTTTTTCTTTCAAACTCCGATGCCCCTTTTTATAAAATGGGGTTTTCCATGGTGTGTCTTTTTCTTTTTATTTATTTATGATTTTTATGCCAAAAAAAACAAAGAATAGGATGGAAGTATGACGATCTTTTTATTTCCCCAAAAAAGAAAAATCTGCTGCAGATATAGTTCTTTTTTTGGCCGAATGCTGCAGACATAGATGATTCTCATTTTTCCGAACATAAATTTTCATTCCCTGCATTAGAAAAAATCACAGAATTTATTTTCATTTTTAAATAACAAATAAAAAATCATATAAGAGATTTAAAAAAATTAATTAAGTTAATTATTTATTAAAAATACGTTGGTTTCATAAAATATTCCCTGTAATCATTCTAATTCTTTAATCATACAGTTCATTAAATAAAGCTAACTCTCATATGTCCAGTAATTTTTTATTTGTTTTATAAGTTTTAGAAAAATAATTAATTACCCTCAACATTTTATATAATAATTTATAAAATGATTAAAAAAAACCTCTGAGAAAATACCTTATAATAGCCCTCCAATACCTCTTTGATAAATGATAATCCTGCATTACAATTTCAATGTCATAAAATACTTTCATTACTAGTTCCTTGTTAGATTTGTCTTTGTCCCTCAACATTCTATATGAGATACGTCCTTGTCCTTGGGACAATACTACTTCAGATTGAAACAAACCAACAATCGTCCGGCCTCATTATTATAAGGGCAAGACAACAGAAGATATCAAATTTCCGGGGTAAAAAAGTTGACCTTCCAATTCCATGAATCGCCCGTGAAGCTCACCACTGTGCCTACATCATGCCACTCAACAAGTGACACTACTACGCACAGATTTTGTCCCTCTAAAAACAAATCACTTGTCCCCATCAAGCACATGCCAATGCTGGTCCCACCAGAATTGAAAACAAATAAATCAACCGATCTTGTAACAAGCACCTCCCTAAGTAATACCTAAATAGTGCATTCTTATTCAGCAGATTCTTTTATATATATATATATATATATATTTTACTAAACCTTATAATAAGCAGACTACTCAAGAATATCTGCACCATAACACTAAAAATACAATTCCAAGTCGCCTGAGATATAAAATATCAAGCACTCAAAACAGGGATTAAAACTGTGCATAATGTCAGGGATGACATTAATCATGCTCTGATCTGAGTTAGATGAATGGTACAGAAAGTTGCATGAGTAGAAGCAAACAGAGAAACAAGAAGCAAAGAAAGATGGGGGCATGAAGGTTGTTTGAAGAAGAATCAGAGAATTCAGAGGAATCCACAGCTAGAGGCATTCCATCACTGTTTAGAGTGCAGGATTTTGGATCAGAGCCATCTGAGCTCAACATAAAAGCACGTAGAACCCCAGAGACTGTATGGATAAAAGCTGATCGGTTCTTCGCCAGAAGCCATGTCAGGCCCATAAGCTGACAATCTTTGTTGTGGATCTTGGTGGTCCTGTCTTGTGATTTGCTTGAATTCGAAGTCTTCTTGTTAAGCTGCATAGAAGTAACTTTTTAATTAAGGAATCACAGTGGGATAAGGGAACTTAATTTGGTACATCGAAGGTTGTTAAATAGCATCTTGGTTGGTGTAACATCCACTCATACAAAAATGGTCAATGCCGGACATCATGGAATAGCACTATTTAAAGAATATGCATAGAACAGGGGAATTTCAACCAACATGCATTATTAGTTTGTGTTGTAGTGAAGCAAAATACCACAGCAAATGAAATGCCTTAATTAAAAGCCAACTATCCTTCGTAATTATTCAAGGATTTGAAATCATTGCATGTGTTTTTATGTACAAATTGATGCTGTGGAGCCACGTAATTTATATGGAGTCTAAGCCATAGTTTTCATGGTTCATGAATAGTACGGTTTCATACATACTGATCTACACACACATATTTTGATGATTAGGCAAAAAGGACAAAACTTTTTAAAATTAGAATTCAGAAACATTAAAAACAAAACCAAGAGAATCCACAGATGCAGTTGTCATCTAATGCTCATGAATCTGTGCTGAATGGGAAATATAAATCTGACTAAAGTCAGGAAATAAGGTGAATATTTCAGAGGGATCAGATAGATAATCGGATCTCATTTGCAGCCATTTGTAAGTTACTATGCGGCAGAAAGAAAGAAAATTCATGGACTAAAATTAAATTTTTGTCTGCTGCTCTACTGGCCATCATGTCTAGCTGGGAAGGCTAGGAAACGAGAACACCGGAATGGAGAAATTGAAGTCACGGGTCTTAGAGGGGGAGAAATGATTTACACCCTCTATGGCATTTAAGGAGTGTGCTCGTTCTTTATAACAAAAACTTGGCTCATTTTATATGTCAAAATATACTTAGATATTTAGCTAGTTATTTGGAATAAATGTTTGATTTTCTCACGGGTCTTAGAGGGTGAGAATTGATTAGAACGTTTATGGCATTTAAGAAGTAAGCTTCTTCTTCGTGATAAGAACTTTGGCTCATTTTACACTTCAAAATATACCAAGTCATCTAGCTAGTTAAGCACCATATCCCAATTATTCTGAAAAGGTAAAAGGACAAAAGAAGAACTATACGCCACATATGCTTGAAACTAGCCAAAGGACCAATATAGAACAATGGTCTCTAACAACTACATTCCAGGTGGTTGATCAGTTACTAATATGATTATAGTTATAATTTCTTCGAACCTTTAAGTTAATGCATCTTGTTCGTTTAACACAATTGTTTAACTTTCTCACAAACTGTAGCATTAACAGTAACGCCCAAGTTCGCGAACCACATAAGCTCTAATGGCGCACGGATTGCGCCGAATTGCAGAAAGTAACCATCCTCCAAAGCGGAACAAAGCAACAGGGAAGATAACTTTCCTGATACCCAAGCATGAAGAAGATGAAGACGAAACCCTGATCAGCTTCTTCATCTTCTTCAGTTTTAAGCAAGATCCATCAAAATCAAAAGCCGTAATGCACTAAGCAGAGAGCATGAAATCAATACATGGAGACAAAGAATGGATCAGTTACCTTATAGAGACTGTTCAAGCACTTAGAGCACCCACCAAGACCTGGCAATTTATCGACATTGGAGCTACTACTCAAGCAATTGCTCTCTAGCATTTTCACACTCTCATCCTCAACAACTTTCCCATCCTGGTCCACAGAAAACGCCTCAGGGCAGCTCAAGGGGTGAAGCCTTATACCACAGTAGCAATAAACCACATCACAAGTCTCATTGGGCTGAACGAGATCAATCCCCTTCACTTTCAAGGCCTTCCCCAAGTCACTCACACAAGTCTCCGAATCATCCGGCAGCAACGGCATATCATACGACGTCGCATGCACATTACGACCCTTCGATGTTTTACCCATCCCAGCGACCCTGCCGAGCGCGGTGGCGGAGTAGGCGGAGTAAAGCCACGCCGCCAGCACCGGGCAACACCGGCTACGGTGGAGCTCCCCGTCTGAGTCGTGCTTGTTAACGCCACACGCGCTCTTCACCCCTTGGAAAAACTCATCGGAGAGCTCCAGAGGGCAACCAACAGCATCGGATTGCTCTGGAACTGCAGGGATGGTGGCCGGTGGAGAAGGGTGCAAGGAAATGGACTGAACCGTTGCAGCATCCGGGTCGGTTATAGCCAGAGTCAGAGTGAAGAAGAAGGAGATGAGAAGGGTAGTGAAGAAAGGGGGAAATGGAGGGAAGGACATTGAGATGAGAAAATGCAATGGTGGTTCAGGGAGCAGGAAAAGGAAGAAGGAATGATGAAGTGATGGGGATGATGAGAGAAGAGGGAAGGCAGAGAGAATAAAATAAAAAGAAGATGGGTGGGGTTATGCAAAGTTTGGCAGCATGCTTTCACAGCTAGATCTATGGCTTCTATTCTTATATAGATGCGGCCCTATTAAAATTATATTAGGTTTGTTAGCTAACTGTATTATTTTGTAGTGACCAAGACAAAAACAATCACGCCTTATGACCCTCACTTTATATTTTTTTTTAAAAACGTTTTTATTTTGTAAAATATTTTCAAGACTGAAATGAATATTGGATCATCTAACTTTATATTGAATATTAATTTATTCATATACTCTGCTCCTAATTATAAGACCTTATTTGTAATTCATAAACAAGACGAGAGATAGTATTATTTGGTCATAGTCTCAACTTGTGTGGGTATTATCCTAAACCATGGTTTGGGGAAAGAGTGAGCCAAACAAGAAAGAAATAATCCGAAACCATGGTTTTGGATCCCAAAACAATAGTTTCAGGCTCCAAAACAATAATTTCAGGAGAAGTGAATTCATTCTGCTTCTTGCTTAAATTGGAGAGTATGATTGTGCCTGTCAAAATAGATCTCAACAAGACAACAATAATATAACTTTAACACTCCTCAATTATTTTTTTATAAACATATTTGATTTTATATCTGATAAATATATACACACATATTAATTATTTATTAATTATATTATCTTATATATTATTAATTATGTTGGTAAAAAAAATATTATTAACAATTTTATTCCTTCAAATTAAAATATATTATAAAATATATATTTTATGTAATTAAAATATTAACTTATACCTTTTTTAGTAATTTGCATATATAAAAAGTATTTCTGATAATAACTATTTAAACACTCTCACTTTATCAGAATCACTTTTTTACAAAATCTATTCTTTACAAAATCTATTTTCCCAAGAATCTATTCTCCAAAAACTATTCTCCAAACCATGGTTTGATTTTATCCAAACACCCTAACAAGGTTGGGTTGAGAGTACCAAAAAAAATATTTTATAAAATTAAGGGGTAGAAATGTGCATTATTTTAAACATTTAAATTATTATTAAAAAAACATATACTCTTGATTCTAGTACTGAATATAGGGAAATTTTTGTTAAAACCAATACCAAACACCTCTTGAAATCTCAACTAAGCGGTTGCGAGCTTGACTCTCTGCAAGTATAATGTACTTGTGAGTTCCTTCCCTTTGAGTGAATGATGACAAAAACAAAAAAATATATATATAGAAAAATTTCTAATAAAGCCCATTTTTATTGGATTAATTACATTATTAAATTGGTAGCAATGATTAGGATTTGTTAGTTCTATAGAAGGTAGAAACATAAAAATTATATTTCGGTCATATGTGAAAACAATTAGATAAGTTTTGAAGGAAGCCTTGATTGATTTTATTAATTTGGCTCGTGAGAAACCAAGTATCATGATCTGTCATGTTTGACCTATAATAGGCTGCATTATTTTGATTTTTATACATGATTTTAATGGGCATGAATTTATTCTTTTTTTTTTCTTTTAAAAAATTAAAAATTATATATACATATACATATATAAATATTATCTTCAGTTTTTAATATAAGATTCAAATGACTAATTTAAGAAACTTAAGAAAACTAAAAAAAATTATTTAATTATAGCATCCTCCTCTTGTCCTATTTATAGGGCAGCGAGAGAAAGTTTTTTTTGTTCTATTTATAAATCACTTCATTAAATTTTTATCATGAATATACTATATTGTCATTCATTTATTATAGTATAGATAGTTTTTTTTAAATGTGTATATATTAAATAGGAATAAAATTGAAAAGTAGCTATATTTTAATGAAGAGTTAATGCATTTTAAGGTTTTTTTTTGTTTATGTAAAATATATTAAAAGTGCCTTATAAATAGGATCAAAGGAGTGTGTTACACAATTTTTTTAAAATACTTGTATATATTATTAAAGTGTATATATACATCAATTTATGAGCCAGACAGATTAGTTTTTAAAAAATAATAAATATAATATTTTGAAGTAATTTTTTTAAATTTTGTAGTCTCCTCAAATTAATTAATCGGTCTTATATCAATGACCAAATGTAGTATATATAAAATAAAGCATCCTTACTGTACCGTGTTTTGACTATGATAAGCTTAAAAGGCCAACAAATAGGGTCATGTATTTATTAATTCATGTCGCATAGTGTGCGCCAAGTCGGAGACGGAGTGAGTTCACATGATTTCATGGATATTATTTATTGTTTTCATCGAAAAGAATAACGCAAAACTGCTGATGCCTTTAATTTTTCCCACCAGCACTTGTTTCCTTGCCTCACCTCTCAATTTAAACTTTTAGTATAGAATCTCAAATTTCATTAATATCTATTCATTTTCCATTTTTGAATTACGATAATCATTTTTCTCCATTGTGGGGTGGCAATTATTGTTATACAAATTTCAAGAGCGTTTTTTTTTCCCTTCTTAGCAAACTGTACTAATTTTTTTGGATGAAATGTATTTGACACGTTTCATTTTAATTAAAATTACGTTTGATAAAGTTGATTATTGTTTGCGTGGCTCGAATTTTTCAAAAATTAAAATTATTTAATTATTTTTACTGTGGTATAAAACAAAATTGCCATCTGAATTACAGCATTTACAGTTTTAGAAATAAAAAAAAATCACAATTTGATCCTCTGCAAAATATTATTTTTTTCATTAAAACAATAAGTTGGATGAATAATTGTGGTGTATATATTTAAATATTGAGAAGATCAACGAAATCAACTTACGTTTTTTTAATTGAGGAAATCCCCCCTTTCCTCACCACATAGAATTTTTGAAAACAATGGGGTATTGATATAGCCTACATATAATGGTGATATGAAATATGAATAATAAACTCACCTCAAATTCTACATAGACTCACAATTTAGTTTGCATGAATATTTCGGGGAGATAAAATATTAATTTGTAACAGAATAATAAACTTACAACCGTTCTCATGATTAAATTAAACAGTGTGTGCACTGGCCGATAAAATAAATCGGAGTTGAGGTAAAGAAAGTTAACTCTTAGCCCAAAGAAGCAGGGATCAGGAAGAATTTCCTGAGATTATTTTTAGGTAGAATGGCAAAAAAATGACCATCAAAATAAAAAAATTACACATAGGGACTGATTTACAAAAAAACTATTGTCAAAACTCATACTAATATTATTATAGATCCTTATTTATAATTTTTTTTATTTTGATGGTCTTTTTTAGCTATTTTCCCTTATTTTTACTCAAGTGGCAAAAGATTTGTGAAAATTACAGGAACAGGGTAAGTTAATAAAGAATTATAGGGAGTAGAGTGGGACCTTTGTTTTTTTTGTTTTTCGTTTTGCGGCCAGACATGTAAACGGTAACCTGACCTTAAAGGAATTTGCAAAGGAGGCGCCAATTCCTGAGCAAAAACAGGAGAAGAAGGCTTTTAAAATTATTTATGAACATACTTTATCTAAATTGTGGGAAAAAAATTTTACATAGTTATTTTGTCTTCTGTAAATTATAATTAAAAAACTGTTTATAAATCATTTTAACGTTAAATTTTCAAGTAAAAAGATGATTATTAAATATTTTTTTAGTTTCCCTCCAAATATGTATTCCGCCATGCTTGGCTTGGGCATCAAGTATTTTTACCTTGGATTCTCTTATTTCTCCTTTTTCAAATAAGCCACCAAGTAATAACAAAATATGAACTCCAAGGCATACCACATTCACTATTCTATACTTAAAAAGCTTGTTTAAAATGTCTTATAAACATCTTTTTAATTATAATTTACAGAATATAAGGTAAGTATGTAGAAAAAATTTTGTCTTAATTTATTTAAATATAATTATTGATTATGAATCTAAACAAGTCTTAAAATTTCACGGAGTCCACTGATGTCGGTGGCTACTGAAAAATCTAGACATCAAAGTACAGGTTTCATATTCATTGACTACGAAATGATATAGACTTGTTTTTTATTTAATACAATTAAACGCATGCACGCACCCAAACATCACAAGAGTAAAATCTCTTAGCGGGACAGCCATACAAGACTTAGGTTGAACGGTATACTTCACAAAACTCCTTAGTTACCACATTTCTTTTTGAGAGCCGCATTGTGAGAGATTTGTTACCAACACGAAAGGCTTGTAACGCTTAGATGTCTTGAGTTTTTAAGAGGATATCTGGATTAACCTTTTTTTTAAAAATAATTATACGGAGTATAAAGTAAGTAAATAACCAGGGGACCACCTTTCTTCTCATTGGATCAATCAACAACTATTAAATTATCGTTTTTTTTTCCCCTTTTAATTTCCCTCCAAGCATGTATGGGAACAAAAGAAAGGGCTGGGCTTTACCTAATAGAGGTTGGGTCTAGCAGAAGGGGCTAGTTCCTCCCAACGTGACAAACTAATATTTGAATCTCTGCTGGGAGAGGTGTCTACATTTAGTACCCGACAGTGCCTCGAATAGGATTGCTTCCAATAGGAAGATATCTATGCTTTAGTAAAACAAAAAACAAAAAAAGAAAGGGCTGGGCTTTATTATTTTTAAGTACAAAGGACAAGTTTAAACCAATAATTAAAAAGCTAGTGAAATCGAGAATCAGCCTAATATCCGTAGATAACAGGGTTTTATTGGTAATAAAAATAAAAATAAAAATAGGGCCTTTAAAGCATATCACATGGCCTCTCTCTCTCTCCATACGCTTGATATTGCACGTTTTATTTTCAGCTTAATTTTGCTTTGTATATACCTCAAATCATAATTAACTAACGAGTTTAAGCTGTGAGTTTTGGAGATCTGCTTGCAAACTTAAATTTAAACAACCTAACTTTGCAAAACTGATGTTTAATTTATAAATCCAATTGTGAGAGACTTGGAGAAAACGGGGGTTTTAAAGAATATGACAAGAATGTTTCAGAACAATCAGATATGATTAGAGGATAAAATGAGTCTTCTAAATCTCAGTTTGGATTTTTTTTAACTGAATTAGAAGCATGAACAATTAACAC